TGAAACCATTCATATTTTTGTTGCGAACTAGAAGCACATCTTAAGAAGGATCCACTACCTCTCTTCTGAGTTATTTCTTCAACATTTGAAACTTGACTTTCAAATACACATGGCTTAATAATGTGAGTGCCCATGTGATCTTCTAGCTTAACATTATTTTTGTCACAACTAAGGAAACAAGAGTCCCAGTGGATAAGACTTCGGCAGTGTCACCCGAATGGTCCATAACAGATGTGACATCATGTATCATTGCTGCCGAGACATTTTTGAGCTTCATTCTTTGAGTACTATATATAATGATAACAGGCAACAAGAGAGGGTGTTGCCATAGATGCTGTTGACTTTGAGACATTATGAACTTTCATTATATACTGGTGCAGAACCCCAAAATGATGCATGCCACCTTCCTTATGGCTACCCCATTGAAGGAAAGCAGTGGTTGATTGATAAAACAGCATAAGCTGTTTACAGATGACAAAGGCAGCCTTGGCAATATACCTTACTAGGCCTCATTATTTCCATATGTCTTATTCTTCTTACATCAGAGAAAATCTCTAAAATTCCTATTTTCTTAGTTTTGAATGTTACCAAAATGTTCACAAAGCTAAGCTTCTTGCTGTTATCCCATATCCATATGTGAAAATTTCTTTGAGTCTCCCCTGAAGTACCAGTAAGTATTAGTTTGGTGATTTTTTTCATACCATCTTGGTGACGTCACAAACTTTTCTAAACGTTGGCTATGTAAGACATCAAACATTGTAAGCATTTCGATTCGTTTCTATAGAGTTCCCTTTCTCGATCACTTGCATAGGCCACTATACTATATACATACTTTAAACATGTACAAAAAGATTATTACATAAGTTGTTTCTGAAGAAAATTTACTGCTCTTAAATTCTGATCTTATGCAATTTGTTGAATGTTTCCAAAGGGAAGGTTTGCTATTGTGTTTCTGATTACTGATAATAACAGCCATCAACTAAATCAACTTGTCCATTTAGTTTCTTGCTTAACTATTATTATTCATTCAGAACACGTGTTTTCTACCTGAATGAGCCACAAAGGCAGAAAATGTTTTTCTCTCTCAACCATTTCTGTAAATCTTGTGGACAGAAACTGCACCTTTTAGCAGCGATGTTTTAAAAGTATTTGAAAACTGGGTGCTGTCTTTTAAGAAAAGGAAATAGATTTTGAAGTTTTCTGTTGTACCTATTTTTGGATGTGAAAAATCATTTGTAGAAACCAAGCTGAGGCCAAGTTCCTCATCACAGGCCGAAAATGGGATTTTGTAAACCTGTAGAGACTGGATTTGTTATTGCATGCAGCTGTGCAAATTTGCAAACATTTCCTTCTTTCCTTCTCCAGTCAAAACCCAGTAGAAGGAGCCAGTTTGGACTGTTGCCTCAGTAACTAACATTTGTGGAAGCTGCAAAACAGGAAGCAAAGTCTAAGCCTCTCTCTCTTTCTGTGTGTGTGTGTGTGTGTGCATGCACACATGTACATGTTTTCATTAGATCGTTGAACTTTTTCATCTATTTTAATCTAGGCACTTAAATTCCAGGTAGAGAGAGAATATATAAACTAATTAGTTATGATTAAATATCATGCTAGGGACATTTAAATGGTATTTTCATTATAGTCATCCTAGTGAATTTCAGAGAATCATTTAAAGGCCTCTAAATATGTGTTGCATGTGCCTGCAGAAGGAAGCCTGAGAAGGGGAAAGAAAACATTTTTAAAATGGCATATAAGGATTCCACACTAGAGCTTTCTCAGAACTAACCAATGAAAGACAGTTCCTTCTGTTTCCTCTGAGAACTGTTCTTGCATTTGTTTCAGTTTAACCACTGGAATCAAAAGAGACAGGAGCCTGTCCAGAACTCAAGATACTCCCAAAAGTGAAATTAACACCCTCTACTCATTTCAGTGTACCATGTATCAGGAGAGCATCCATCATTGTACATCAGCTTACGTGATCTTTTCTAAAGGCCATCTCTCACTCATCCAAGGGAGATTTAGTTCTCTGCTGAGAGGTTTTCCCAAGATGTGTTGTGAACAGTACTATATCAAACAAATTCTGTGGTCTTCCCGATAGATGATAAGCTTCTTTGGGTAGACATAGCAAAATGCTTAGAAATTGTTCACTATGCACACTTGGTAAATTTATAGCCCTGATATCTCGAGGGTGGGGAGTGGAAAGTGATGTTGGTATTGGAATATTATTCTTTTAAAGTGGGTGTGTGTGTAGACAAACACAGGACAGACAAACACGGGCGAAAGGAGGAGACACAGACACGCGGCTCCCACGTGGGTGCACTTTAATGGGGGGGAGGGGGGCACGATAAGGGACAGGTGTGCAAGATACACAAGGGTAAAGGGCAAGAGAGAGCGAGACCTCGTGGAAGCTCGCTTTTTAACGAGAAGCGCAAGGGTATCTGGGAGAAATGACCTGCACCTGTGCGCGCCCGCGCACGCAGGTATCCGTAATCCAGGAGGAATCTGGGAGCTGTAGTTTCCAAAAGGAACAACAGTACACATTATAAAACATCTAGAATATCAGGTAGGAAGTGGTGGGTATCATAAAGGATCACAGTGGCAATAATGTCAAAAATTACAGATCTATACATATGAAACAGGCTCCACATTGGAGCCTGCTGCATAGAAAACTTTTATGATATATAAAAAAATTGCAGTCAATTAATTCTACTTCCAACTGTGCAGCATTCCCTTTGTGTTGTACAGTCAAGAGACCCCATTTGTGAATATAAGAATTCTACCTGGGGTCTGGGGAGATGGCTCGGTTTATCAAATGCTTCCCAGGCACCATTAGAGTCTCAATTCAGATACCCAACACCAACATAGAAAGGCATGAGAGTGGGTATCTGAAATCTGGAGCACTGGGGAGGTGGAGACAGGTGGATCATTGGAGCTTGTTGGCCAGCTAGTCTTTAAGAATTGGTGTGCTTCCAGTTCAGTGAGAAACCTTGTCTCAAAGACAAACAATGTGGAAAGCGGTAAATAAAGACATCAATTTCTGGCTTGCAGATGCTTGAATACACACACACGCATATAAATGTGTAAGCATTCAAGCATGTACATGCAGCAGACACAAACACCCACTCACACACACCTCCCCTGAAAACCTACAAATGACTGCATCCCGCAGGGATTGAATTTAGAGGCTATTTATGGCTGTTAGCTTGGTGTTTTGTGGTACTCCTAATAGTGGGAATGGGTATGTCTCTGACTCTTTTGTCTGCCTTTGGGCCTATTTTCCTCCTATTGGGTTGCCTTGTCTAGTCCAGATATGAGGGCATTTTCCTTGCCTCATTGTATCTTGTTTTGTTGTGTTGGTTGTTGTCTCTTAGAGGCCAGCTTATTTCTGAAGAGAAGTGGAGGGAGGTGGAAAGAATCATGGCTGGGGGGAGAGGGGAGGTTGGCGAGGGAGCAGCAAGAGAGGAGTGGAGTGAGGAATCTGTGGTCAGGATGGGTTGTATGAGAGAAGAATCTATGTTCTTTTCTATTTTCTTTTATTTTTTAGACAAAGTTTTTTATTTTAAATACCAATCCCAGTTCTCTCTCCCTCCCCTCCTTCTGCTCCCCCCAATATCTCCCCACCCCACACCTCATCCATTCCTCAGAGAGGTGAGGCTTCCCAAGGGGAGTCAACAAAGTCTGTCACATCACACTGAGGCGGGATCAAGGCCCTCCCTCTGTGTCTAGACTGAGCTAGGTGTCCTTCCACAGGGAATGGGCTCCAAAAAGTCAGTTCATGCACTAGGGATAAATACTGGTTCCACGGCCAGTGACCACATGAACTGTCCAAGCCACACAACTGTCACCCACATTCAGAGGGCATAGTTCAGTGCTATGCAGTTTCCCCAGCTGTCAGTCTGGGGTCAGTGAGCTCCCTCTGGCTCGGGTCAACTGTTTCCCCATCATGTTCTTGACTCCTTTGCTCATATTATTACTCCTCCCTCTCTACGACTGGATTCTGGGAGCTCAGCCCAGTGCTTAGCTGTGTATCTCTGCATCTGCTTCCATCAGTTGCTGGATGAAGGTTCTATGATGACAATTAAGGTAGTCGTCAATCTGATTACAGGGGAAGGTCAGTTAAGGCACCCTCTCCACTATTGGGTAGAATTTAACCAATAGAAGAATCTATTTTCAATTTTAAAAAAGACTCAAAGAATGATATCACTACATTTTATAGATGAGGAAATTGAGATACAGAGAGGATGAGAGATTTGTAAAACTTTCCACAGCGATGGTTATGATTATGAACCAGAAGCTCTGTTTGTAAAGTCTGAATACCAGCAACCATACTCACAACACAGGGAACCATCTTTGAAGTTGTGTAGACACTTGACTGGCCTCAGAGCACCCAAATTCCACACTCAAATACAGGATTTGGATGTTTTATGGTGAAATAATTAAACATTGTTTGAGATATTTTTGGCTCATAAGGAAAGGGAAATACTTAAGCCTGTGGTGTTTTCTTCCTTCTCCTTATCTCTCCATTCGCTCGTTTCCTTTCTCTTTTCCATTAAAGGACGGGGATATCTGTAAGGGGGATTTATTGATTTTGATTTTTTAGATAAAGGATCCAGTTATTGTTTACTATGGTAAATGTTTCGGGGCCAAAATGACTGTTGTTACCATGTTCTTTACCCCTCACCTCTTCCATCCCACATTTCCCAATAATTATATATCTTTTCTAAGTGTCAGCTGTTTCATATGAATCTCTTGTCAACTCTTCTCATAAAGCATTTTGAATAACTAAATTTCAGCCAAAGACCCCTACTCATAAAGCTACTTACTTCTTCTTGTTTTTTTTTTTTAAAAAAAGGGAGATAGGATTAACAAACATATTACCCCAAAGGAAAACTACAAGTAGCAAGAACTTCACAACACATGTAAGCCGATGAGAATTTTATTAAAGCAATATTGAACACTACTACATGCCATTATGTTCTGGAAAGGTAGGAGACGGGTGGAAATCATTTTTCTGTTGCGGTTTCCATGTTAAGCTGTTAAGAAAAGTAGAACATTGTATTACTTTAAAAACCACCACAATTATTTTTATCGCACATAACTTTTTATGTTTGGTGCTTGAGTTCATTCTTGGTATTGCCTGCTACCGTTTGCTACCAAGGAGCAATCTTCAGGTTTGGTGGGGGGGGGGGGTGGCGGTGTCTACTATAGTTCCATTTTGTATTGAGTTAGGAAAGGAGGTGTAAACGTGTTTCTTGAAAAAATGGAGAAACTTGAGATATTTTTTTTTAATTGTAGTGAATAAACTGTGATGTACCTTGGTAGGAATAGCTAACGCCATCACTATATATTCTTTAGGTGGTTGGAATGGAGAGAAGGCCTATTTAATATTTCAAGTTGCTCAAATGGTACATATCTTCACATGTGTCCTTTTACTATAGGTCAATCTAATGGACTTGTGTATGTACAACATGTATATGCCCTAATAACACTGTAATGTCTGAATCATAAAACAGAAGATAATGGAGTTTTTTTTTCTGGAGTTTATGGTCAATAAGTCTCCATCAAAATTGAGCAAAATAATTTTCTTAGTTTCACTTTTTCATCAGCTTAAACTTTCACCTCTTCCCAGCGAAGTTCTAGGTCCAGGGCAGACCTAACCTACCTCCAGTCCAGATGTGGCTGGCTCAGGGTCTGAAACCATTCCTTTAGTGTCAAAATAATTCTATTACGAGCAGGGAAAGGAATTTATTTCAATTCCAGATTTGTCTGTTTTGAAAGGGAACTAGAGGAGAAATCGTTGTAGTGTATAATTGCTTGACAAAAGAAAGAAACAGAATTTTCCAGTTCTTAGAAAACCCTCTTTTAAGATTATGATCTCTGACCTGCTTAGGAAATAGCCTCTTAGGGAGAACTTCAGTTTTAACCAGTCAATCTGGTTTGTGTCATCTTTTGTCTCAAATCCTTGAATTAATAAATAAGCTGCTTCTGCCTCAGAAAGTATTGTATAGAGGAACACTGATAAAAATTTTAAGTTCTATTAGCAGTGTCTTAGATACGTGTTGCCCAATATGGGAGTGTTTTGCCCAGTGTGGGTGCTGAACATTAGAAAATATAAAATATGGCCAAGAAACTGAGTTTTAAATTTTATTCCTTTTGAATTTTAAATGATATAAATGCCCCAATATGTGTGTGCGGTTTGAAACAACACATTGCATTGTAATTCTATGTATCTACATGTTGATTTGAGTAGTATGGCAGCCATTATTTTCTTTGATAAATAATAATTACTTACAGATTTTTTTACAATATCTATCCTCAGTATTTGCTCTTAAACATATTTTCGAATATGTGAACTATGAGCATTTTACTAATCATAGCCATTATTTATTGAAGCTGAACTCTTCAATATGGTACAAACCCAATATCATAAAACAGTCAAGAAAAAAATGCATAGGCACCCAAAAGTAAAGTTTGTGAGGTACATATGAGCAATATATTAGGCACGTATTGAAATTAGGATGTTATTCAATATGAAAAATATTGTAAAACCTCAAGTTTTAAAGGTTTATCTTATAAACATTGTCATATGCCTATGACTTCCATGCCATTTGAAGCCAATTCAACTCCAACAGAATTTCATCAATATTAGCACTAAATGTACACATTGGAGTGGATATATTTGAATGAAAGAAGAGATTATAAATGCATGCCTGTTACCTTAAAGTAATAAGAAACAAAATGTCTACATACCGGATGCCTTGGCATGCCCTGGTACCACTTCATAGGGTTAAGCACCTTAAGAGAAGGAGACATTAGAATGCAGTTGATTTAATTTAATTTCATATAAACTAAATACTAAACTCACTAATGCAGTATGAAATATATACTCACTAATGCAGTCCTGTCAGTATTGATAGCCTGAGAATGTGCCTTCTACAAAAGAAAGAAGCTAAAGACATGTCCAGTGCTCCTATATCAAGTATTATGTTACTAACAATCCAGCACATTCTACAAGGTATTGTCCATGGTCTGGACAAGTACAATCACCCTCATCTTTTAGAGATAGTCATGAAGAGTTAGAGTCAATTTATATAACACAGCTACAAAAATGGTAATTCTGTTTAAGCTCCTTGGCTTATGCTTCTCATTGAAATATCAAAACATGTTGCTGTAGGTGGTCCCAGGGATGGGTAATTTCAGGACACAATGGTGCCACCAATATCCTCAGGAGTTTTTATTTTTCTGCTTCCAACTTTTGATCACAAGACAGCAGACACAGCTCCATGAGTCACAAATTCCAGACAAATGATCAAAAGAACACCTTTTTTTTTTTTCCTAGAGTGTAGCTATACATCCTTTGATAAAAGGATTCCTAATCCCTAAGAGTTCTTTCTTCCCAGAAAGTTGTCCTTTGTTCTCATTTTATATTCATGGTCCACTACAACCTTTCCCTCAACTAATAAGAGACAAGCAGTATTAAGTTATGGTAACTGATGCCATAGTTGGTGTAAATGAATGGACCTTCTCTCCCTGGACAGTAGAGAAGACACATCTCTCTCATGAGTAGGTGGAAGGCCATATGTTGGGATCAGTTCCAGCTCTGTCAATGAGGAATGAGTTGTAAGCAAGCTGATGAACAGCTTCTAATTGTGACTGCTATGTGCCATAGGATTAATGCCATTTGGGCATCCTTTACTGTTGATTAGCTATCTTATTGCATCCCTTTCTGTAAGGATAGGCAATTACTGTTTTTACTATTACATATAGTATAGTACCTAATCTACTGAGTGCTTGAGAAATATTTAGTCAATTGATTAAAAGTGGCCTATGTTAATTGATTAAATGTTTTCTTACCTTTCTTATTGCAATTCAGTTTTTTTAAAATTCAACTTATTTGTCTGCATATTGATACCTTCCCAGTAAAGCTATGTTTATACATTCCAGAAAATGATTAAGGGACCTTAAATCATGAAGGTACTGGAATAAAGTTACTGTGGATGCTGTGTAATATAAACCCTGCAAAGACTGTTTACAATTTTGTGTGGGTGTAAGAGGAAAAAATGATTCAAATATAAATATGAGTGGGAAAGAAAACTTCTTTTAAGTCCATTTTATGCATCTGTTAACGTTTTGAAGACCATGCGGTAGACTTCATCAGCTTAAAGATTATGAAGTGAAAGAAATGACTTGTGTATAAAATCACTGCAGTTCTCTGTTTGAAGCTCCATTATTAAATTTTTCTTAGGCAAAATGATTATTTCAATAATTTCAAACTCAGTGAAATACTCTACATATAACATACTTTCACTGAAAATATTTTTTTCTGTAAAATGAGTTCAAAAGACCAGATTTTGATTACTAATGTGGTGTGCAGAATAAAGCTAGAGCTCCAAGTCCTAATTTGATTTAGAATATAAGCAATTCTTAAAGTTTATCATTTTCAATGTAAAGAATTTTTCTTCTGAACTGGCTTTCATTTGGTTCAGGTTCAATGACTATCATGCTGAAATTTCTTTAGCTTCCTCAGCTATTTGTTAATGATGTACAAATTTCTATTTTTAAGAAAAGATTTGAGATACTATAAAGGTTCTCTAAGAAGACATATAGTCATTATTTGCCTGCTAAATGGTCAATTTGTAGGAGCAAATGACCAGTCCCTACATCATTCACAAATAGTCACTTATAAGTTCTCTCAAGTGATAGGAAATTTTAAATTTAATTCAACACAAAGACATGAATGATTTTTAAAACATTTTATTATCTGCTAATGATACTTATTTTTAGTTACAGAATTTACTAAGTGATTGTAGGCACAAATCATTGTGTTCTTGAGTTATTCCTAAAAACAACCGAAGTATCCACTTCGGTTCTCTCATTTTCTGAATTTTTTAATCCTGAAAAAATATAGCAAAAGGAACAATTAACATAATTTACAAACAGTCCTAGTGAATACTATTTACAATAATAAGTTATGGCTTCAGTTTTGTAAAACAATGTACAACCATTGAGTTTGATTCTGTAATTTCTGAAGTTCCTCATCTTGCTATTAAGTAGAAGTTCCTTATGTTCAAGCCTCTAAGACATATTATTTAATGATATAATAGTAGCTGCCACCTTGCATCAAGTGTTGCCTGCTGTAATCTCATTACTTCATTTCATTTTCCATAAGGCAACTCTAGGCAATCATCAGGATTTTTTCTCTTGTTTTAAGCAGGAGAGAACTGAGTCTAAAAAGTTCATACTACCTCCCCAAAGTCACCTTTCCACAAATAGTTTGGGCAAGATAAAAACACATGATCACATCCACGGTGTTAATCATTAATAAAGACACAAATAAACCCCCTTTGCATGCAAACAGAGAACATGTACTTAGTCTATGATAATCAGGGATAGCTACCAGGTTATTGAATTCCAGTCAATTACTAAAAGCTCTATCTCATTTCATAAACAGGCTTAGAATTTGAAGACATGAATGACAGTATTCTTATAAGGAAACTGTGGCAATACTATTTAGAGTTGTCTGTTTTTTTCCTTTCCCTGGTTTAAAGAAAGGAATCACCTCCAAAATAGAAGTAACTTGGTACCCTACCACCACTTTCTTTTTTTGAGGGAAAAGCTAGGACTAGAATCTAGGTCACTCCTGCCTCACTTCTCTTTGATTATTAGTAGCAAATCATTAATAGCATTTATCACATTTGAATCCATGTGCATAGTATAATCACATCATTTCATATATATATAACTAATATTGTGTGCATAAGGATCATTTCATTAACTAGTCTCACTTGTTTGTAAGAGCTTTCTGTAACACGGGAGCATTTAATGCTAAATTGTGACAACCTCTTGTCAAACACTTAGTCTGTGGAGTCCTGGTACTGAAGAAGAACCTAACAGTCTCACTAATTTAGCCACTTTCAAGTTGAATGATCACTTTAGACAGGCAATTTTTCTATAAGTCCTGAAAGATAGTTCCCCTCTACTTCTTTCAGCTTGTTCAAATATTGATTCTCTTCATTCTCAAAAATTACTCCTTTTATAGTCTTCCTGTAATTTTAGCCTCTTCAAACTAGTCAACCCTTTGAAATGCTAGAAAAATGATATTCACCTGTTCTGTTACTCTTAAATGGTTACATTTCAGTAATGCAGAGTCTGGTGTTAATTCAATGATTAGAATTTAAATTTACCACAAAATCCATGGTGCTAATTACCAAGACATGTCACCAAATCATTTGTGAAAAAGAAGGAAAAAGATAACAATGTATGCTTGGACTAACAGAAGCAAAGACCTTAAGTGTCTGCAACTCTGGGGTCTGATTTGTTTTGGAACTCAGAACTCTGGGGCCAATTCTGTGAAATCGCTTTCCTAGGATTTGTCTGTTTCTGGCTTCAAGGTATACTCACCACTTCTTCCCGCTTGGTCTTGTCTGTCGCTGGCCAAGCTTCCAGAGGCAGCTCAGGAAGAATGGGGGACAGGGGCTGCATGGAGAACAGTGGAGGCAGAGGTGGCTGTGGTGCCAGGGGCTGCATGGGGTGCAGAGGTGACTGGGGCTGCATGGGCTGATGAGACTGGGGTGGGATGGCTTGGGGCTGGAAGGGCTGCTGGAAGGGCTGCTGGGCGGATGGAGGGATGTTTGGCTGATGGTGTTGGGTTGGAGTCATGGAGTGGTGGCCAGGAACTGGCATCATTGGTTGCTGGGGGGCCACTGGCTGTTGAGCTGGCACCACGGGGAGGTGGTGATGAGGCTGAAGGGTGTGACTCGGGGGATGCTGTTGAGACAGCACAGGGATGATTTGGTGGTGCAGCCATCCACCCATGGGTTCGTAACCATAGGAAGGATACTGGTGAGAAACAAAGAGTCAGGTTTACCATTGGCTCAGTTGATTTCTAACTGGAGAAGTAGCAGTAGTGTTTGTTATTATGACCTTATGAATATTTTAGTCATTTTTTCCTTTGCAAGAATTTCTAACAGTGTACACAGATATGACCTTTTACAAACTAAAATTCCCATTAGTGTTTGTAGATGGAGTAGACATGATATTTCAGTTAAAAAGGGAATTAAAATGCATGCCTATTCTCTAAAGGGAATGAAGAACAAAATGTTTACATACCGGCTGCCTTATCATGCTCTGGTACCACTTCAAAGGGGTAAGCACCTTAAGAGAAAGAGACATTAGAATGCATTTGATTATGTTTAACTACATAAGAACTAAATACTAAACTCACTAATGCAGTATGAAATATAGACTCACTAATGCAGTCCTGTCAGTATTGAATGCCTGAGAATGTGACTTCTACAAAAGAAAGAAGAAGGTAAACATTTGTTGGATGTTTCCTATGTGTCAGGTACTGTGTTATATCCATCCCATCCACTTTTCATGTTTTCTCACATGATCTGAGGCAGGTATCACCCTCACTTTTATAGGTAATGTTAGGAAAACTCAGGTAGGTTCATTCACTTAGCTGAAGTTACAAAAGTAGTAATTCGATTTAATTCCACAGTTCCTGCTCTTCATTGAAAGAGCAAAACAAACAAACTTTTATGACACAACAATGTGATATAATATCCATTTGATTCTTTCTGATTTCATATCACAATGGAGAAAGAAGGTGGAAACCTTTCCTTTCATCCTTAAGACATAGATTTCTTGATCAATTATATCAACCTTTTAAGATAAAACAGTAAAATTTGCCTCAGATTCCTACTAGCAATTTTCTTCAGTTTATATAAGTAAACAGATTCATATCTTTATCTGAACCTGTGAGATAAATAAAGAATTTCATCCCTCTCTAGACAGTATTGCCTTATTAGTTAGACTTAGATTTATAACTCTCTTGTATGGTACATCATTTAATCAATACAACAAAAAACTATTAACCTCACTCAAGTTATGAGTGGCATAGCTCTTTCCGTGCCCTTTATTATTCTCCAAATAATATTTTTGAAATGAAGTTATCATTGTCTCTCTTCTCTAGATGAGGAAACCAAAGTTCCATGGGGAAAAATAGATCTTCCCGAGGTCCTAGAATTTGCATGCCTTTGAGGAGACCCCCAAAACCTGTTTCTAGAATTCTTCTGCTTTCTGTCACTCTGAAGAGACTCTTTGAAACCACTTTTCCTTGATCACTTAGCAGAGCCAATGAGAAATGCACACCGCTTGTGGATATCTTTGAATCATCAATTTTTCCAGCTAGAAAAGATTTTAACATCTTACTTACTCCTCGAATTTTATAGGCTGGCATAGAACAAGACTGTTGAAGCCGAGTTCAGTTTCTGCCCTATCATGGAGCCTTCCTGAGTGGTAGTTCATGATGGATACATTTAAAACTAGGTTTAAAAGTAGAGGCTGAGTCAGAGTGATCAGGTAGAAGGGTGCTGGGAAATGCAGATTTGAGGCCATCAGTCGGGGCTTAAAGCTGCTGGTGGGAACTGAAAAAGTGTGACCATTTGAGAAACATCTTGAATGAAGAATCAATACACCACTCTTTACAGATCTCAGGACATCTTTAACTCAAACAATGGTCAAAATTAGTAAATAGAAAAATTACCTCATAGCTTAAGTTGATATAACCAGGGCTCCCAGGATGAGGTGGTAGCTTTTTTAGAAAGGGAAGAGGGCAGATTGAAAGAAAAAAGGGGGGGACAGAAAAAGGAGAAAGAGGAAAAGAAAGAAATTAAGTCAATATCAATTGTTCACATTAAGGATGTCTAAAGCTTTATTTTTTTAAAAAAAATATATACATAATACAGAATGTATTTGAGGTTTACTTTTAGCCTGAGCATGTATACTGTGGTGGAGAAGCCTTCTCATTTTAAAGAGGTACTGATTAGCTAAATGACTTTCCCAGGGGTCATAGTCAAAGAATCCTACCCCTTTCCAGCCACCCATTTACTTGTTGATCAAACTCCCTCTGTGTTAGGAAAAGAGGTATATTTCTATTACACAACTGAAAAATAGCAACAAGCAAGGAATCATTTCACCAAGGGCCCCTTTAAAGATCAGCTGGTTAAGTGTTGAAGTATCAAAGGGCTTCCTAGTAATTAACATGCAAAGTAAATAAATAACACCCTAACTCTATTGTTCAATGTGAGAACGAGATGAGAGTAATAAAATATAAACATCCTAAATCCATCCCCTGAACAATAAAATAATTGATGTATTAAAGATCAAGGCCAACCCTTTTTATTATTCTATAAATGATTTATGATAGAAATTTAGAAGTTCCAAATAAAAAGCAACCTGGACAATTTTCTAAACCAGAACTGTCTGTGCTTCTCAAAGTGGGGTCAGCTGACTAGGGAGTTCTGGTTGGTGGTGGGGGCAGGAGACAGAAAGGTGTGAGCATAAAACAGAAAACCTCCCTCAGACACAAAGCTACTGAAAGGTCAGTTCAAATCTATTCTTCCAAAATGCTTGTGTTTTGCAGCCCAGTTTATTCACTCTCATCTGAATGCAAATGAACATTAGTTAGGTAGCTGTCTTCCCTATTTTATCTTGATATAAGCTCTCTGAGACTGGGGTATTAAAAGGGGGTGAATTTATAAATGTCAGCTTCTTAGAGAACAAGGAATCATCAAAATGCAGGATTTAAAGAGCACATAGCACAAAATCTTGGTCTTTTGTGTGAGAGAAGAGAGGCAGTCATACAAGCTCACTGGCTTCTGTTGTACTGAATATTCTTTATACCACCAAAAAGCTTTGCTACTGTATGTTCTTAGCTTTCTGCCGTTATGTACCTGTGTCTGGAGAGTGGGCTAGGCGTCCTGGTCTTTGGTACATTTAAACTGTAATGTACAGACCTTCTACTATAACTGCTTGCTATGTATGCATGTGGCATAAGCAGAATTCCATAAACGTGCTAAGGTCAAGTCCTACCTAAGGTGTAAATCAATGCACCAAAGTGGGAGGTCCTTGGGGAAGAGTGAGGTGTTACAAGTCGGAGTATCAAATATAGAAATGTTACCTCCTTAAGGCAAGAAGAAAATTTGAAACTTGTGAGGAATTAAGTCTTAGAGATTGTTTGGATGTCACATTTGCCTAAGGTTGAGTAAACACTTTCTCTGGAAGCCTTTCAAGGATTCCTTCAAGTAAGATTACTCCTTGTGGAGACGGCAGTGGTGTTTACAAGTTAATTGTTATGGCAGAGTTCTCTGAGGCTAAAATGCTTGTTAAAATGTGGAGTGCTTGGCCCCATTTCAGCTGTACTGAGTCACAATCTGTGGTGGAGACATTCATGGGTTTCTTTTTTAAAAGTTCCTTAAGGGTTTCTTCAACACTTAGACACTTGGGGATATTAGATCTTGTGCTGAATGAAACCCTGAAATTCACCAACCATTGGGGGCAGATTTATATTTCCAAGCTTGTGAAATTGGATACAATCAATAAAAGGGGTATTTTACTCACGGGCATAGCAAAAGCTGCTCCCAGGAGGCAGGCAAACAAAATCCAGGTCCCCATTTCTTGATGGTTCTGAAATGGAAATTAACACCAGCCATTTAGAAATGTATTTTTATAGGAATAAACATAATTATGGTTCATACATTTATATAGTCCACACTAGTGTATTGATAATAAAAAGATGGGGTACTTCTTGATAAAGGATTTTATTCATGTGTGATTCCCATTTTGAACCTATACCATTGCTTCTCTATCATGATTATGCTAAAGGTTAAAAAGTTATAGGAAGACAAGTTATCTACCAAAATGATTGTGTATGCCATTTTTCTGTATATATACAGCCTATAGATTCATAGGAGGTAAATGATCTATAAAATGATGATTAAAAGAACCAGATCAAATAGAAAAGTTGAGGAGATAATTAAAGTGAATGTGATTTTATACTTTTTTAAGAAGACATAAAAATGTTCTTGTTGCGTACAGCCCACTTGAACAGTGCTAATGTTAAAAGCATAAGCTAATTATATGAGAAAATTTTGAGTAATTTTCCAGAATAGACTAATGGAAGAGTTGGTTTAGGTCCAGATGTCACCATCTGTAGAATTTTAGGCAAGAATCTCTCATAACACCTTTGAGTTCCAGGTGGAAATCAAAAGATGCGGTTAAACTAAAGGGAGGACACAGTGCTACCATTCTCTGCTTCTTTAATGGTTCTAAATGAATTCTACCTAAAAAATTCTTTCTTTCATCAGTAACATCATCTTTTTGCTTGTCAACAGTGGGATCCTACATATTAATGTCATTGTGTCATTAAGCAAGAACTGGCCATCCCCAAAAATGTACATTCTTTTATGACAACACCATGAAGTACATATAAGATATGAATGTAGCATGTAATGGTGCTGGCTATGAAAAGTACATTGAGATTTTCTACCTTCTAAATCTATTCTTTTTACAGAGGTTAAGTTAATAAGAAAAAGCATTTACACTTGATATAATTAAACAAAGCTTTGTAAAGAAGTAGGTCATAGCCTGTTAAAGCACTATCCTAATTTAAAAAAGCAAATAAACATTTTGGTGTGAAATCTGGCTCCATAAAAGCTTTGGAATCCTTGACCTAAAACTTAAAGAAATGATGCATTGCTGTACCACAAAGTTGAACATTCATTTCAATGATCAGAGACTATAATCTAATTATGTAAAGCTGAAGAAGCACATATGGTGTGGATGGCACAGAGTAAAAGAAATGTGCAATATATTCACACCTTTGAAATATAAAATTCAGAGGAAAAAATGACCCCAATTAAGATAGTAAATTATGAATAAACTCCACATACCTTTGAATGTGTTCTGAGTGAGTTTCTGTCTGAAGCTCAGGGATGCTTGATCCTTTGACTTCTTCCAACTCTGGGCCCCAATTTATATCATCCAGAGCATCTAGAGCAGCCAATCAGGTTTCAGAATGAAAAATGTGCTGAGTCTATCGAAAAATCCCTGTATCATGATTTTTTAGATGCTGTGAGCACTGTTACGGTTGCATGTTGTGATTAGTGCATATAGTCTTTCATTACAGGCAATAATAGGTTTGGAAGACTTCTTCAAGTCAGCAAATGAGTTGACTGCATATGCTGATATATTTGAATTCATTTTTAAGGAAATTCTCTTCCATCATCTACTACTCAGTTCTAGCAGTTAACATTGTCTTTTTTTGGAAACCACGTAAGGTTTTCCAGACTTTTCATATCAGGAGGCATAGATTCATATCTCATTCTAGTAAAATAAAATCCAAAGCTCTCTTAGAATTCTACAGTTGCCAGTGTTCTTTCTCTGCTTCTATTAAAAATATTTTCTCTGTCCCCTGTGTCCTTTAACACCACTCTTATGTCCACCTTCTTGGCCCTTTCCAGGAAAGTACCTGCCCTGCAAACTACCGTGACCTCACGACTATTACAGTCACAATGCTTATTCTAATGCACTCCCTGAGGGACAAAGTAAATACCTATCCCATGCCAGAGAATGTTCTTGGAAATATACTTGAATACTTAGAAACATGTGTAACAGGAGATATTGCCCCGGTTCTACTACAGAGCCAGTTCGCATTTCTAGTCCAGTGATTCTTAACCTGTGGGTCACTACCCCTTCATGATTCAGATGACCTTTTCACAAGGGAAGGATGACAATCACCGCTCTCGACTTTTCCAGCACTTACCAAGTCCAGTGTTTCATATTGAAAACTGAAATTGACATCTCTTTTTAAGTGCTTATTAATTGTCCCTTTAGTGGTATTGCCTCCATGTTTTCACCAATCTCGCCTTTACTTAAACACTATTAACCAAGTCCATTCACTTTGTAAGAGGACTTCTGACTTAGCTATTTAATTTACGAGCAATATACTTCTCTGCCTTAATAAAGCATGAGTTAGCTTTAATTTATTCTACAATATGATCATTTAAGACATAAATTTATAACTAATGACAGGGACTAATGGGGTTTGTATCAGTATTAAATGATGTTCAATAAATTGGGGTTATACTTAGATCTTTCAAATACTTATAGAGTTTTTAAACTTTCACACATATACATATTTTTCAATAGCCACAAATATGCATAACTTCTAGACCCTTCAAATTGATAAATTAGTACAAGGAGAAAATAGTCATAAGAGTATATAATGTATAGTATTCATGACAATATTGAATTTAGACAATGTTAATCTTGACTCCTGCTTCACCCCAGACAGAGGAAACATTGAGAAATTACTTAGAGGTGTGAGTCACAGTTTCCTCATATGTAGGAAGAGTACAATAATACAGTCAGTCTACCTAAGACAATTAGTGTAAAAAATAGGCGAGACACATACACAGGGAAACTGAAAGTTGTTTGTTGCCCATACCACTCCTATTACCTGGAAAATGTTGTGTTTAAAGTATACGAATAATGCTTAAGATGTAAGGTGGGCTAAGATCAAAGTTTATCTTTGAGAATAAATTAGTAAAGACAACTGAACATCATGAGTAAAGGTAGATCATTCAATTTGGAAGAGAAAAATGGCAGCGTAGTAAGTGGAAGGGCATAAGAAGCCAAATGTTTACCACATGATGAACACAGAATGACTCTAAAAATATGTCTAAGGTTTGCACTTTATGAATATGGTTATTGCTGAATCATATATATCAGATGCAAGACATATTCTCTATGAAGGAAGTTGTAAAATGATAGCGTAAGAAAAATGTTGATCATATATTTTCATTCAATCTTCCACTCATTTTATTTAAGCCTGAAAGGATTTGGGACATATTTTCTTTTATAAAATTGTAGATAATAAGAAAGACCTAATTAATAAAGACATTTATGGATTACTTTTGGCATTACAGCCACATGCAGTGTATCTCATTACTGTTTTTTATCTTTCAAGAATGAAAGAGTGATAGATTTAGTCACAGTGACCCACAGATGTGTTCTTATTATAACACTTATTTTCTGACTAAGGCAATTACTGTGCATTCACTGTGAACAGCAGTTGATCAGACACTGGTGGCCAGTTCCACAGAAATGATACAATTATTTCTGTTTTTTCCTCTATGTCATGTCCTAAATTATTGGATATTAAAATATTGATTTTTATCTGGAATTTTCTCCACTAATTCAGCTACCATTCATATAATTTTTAAAAAAATCAAGTACAACCATATGTGGTGGCTCATACTTGTATTCTCAGCATTCTAGGAGTTGAGGCAGGAGAATCATCACTGTTTGAAAATAACTTGGTCTACCAGTAAGTTTCAGTACAGTTGGGCTACAGAGTGAGAAATTGTTACCAAAGAAATGCTCAAGTCCAGTTAAAAATGGAAAACTGATCTACATAGGCATTTCTCAAAAAGAAGGAATACAAGTGGTCAGCAAATGCATGGAAATGCTCACTGTCATTAACTATCAGGAAAATACAAATCAAAATTATGATGAGATATTATCTTACCAAATTTAAAATGGCTACTCTCATAAAGATAAGAAGTAACAAAGGCTGTCAAATATTTAAAGAAAAATAAAGTGCTACACGCCTTGGTAAAGGTATAAATTCTCAATACTCAGCCATCAGAACACTAAAAATTGATCTTTACCATAATCCAGAGATCCATATCTGTGTATACACCCAAAGAAAGTGAATTCATTACTTCAAAGGCACATCTTTACTCACAGGTTTACTGTGATACTGTTTACAGCACCTAAGATACAGAATCAACATAGATGCTCGTCAACAGATGAACGGATAAGTGTATATGTACACAGTCTTGTTTTATTGTCCTATAATAAAGATGAAATCCTGTCATTTCCAGTAAATGAATATAGAACTAGAAACAAGTTTTCAGAAAATGTTAATTAGCTTGATATGATCATGTAATTCTGAATATCACACTCTACTCCAAAAATATGCACAATAAACTCAAAATCCATAAAATTACTGAGTGTTTTAGGAAAAAAGTCAAAGCTCAATTAAAATTTTGCCTGAATCCAATTATTTCATCTTTGCATAAGTTTATTTTGGAAAACACAACTTACAAAAATAATTTTTTTGTTTTATATAGAGTGCATAACATTTCCAGAATAATCCTGTTTCTCTTTCTTTTTGAAGTTGATTATTTGTTCTTTTCAATCAGTATTTAAAACAATTTTAAGCATAAGATATTTTCTGTATGTGATGTCTCTATGACTAGTGTAATGATATGGATCCCAAATGTGTCTTTATTTGTTCCTACTTTCATTTCACATATCTGTAACTGCATATATTTGTGCTGACTACATATGAACTGCAGGCTGTTCTTGTTATTAAGAGAACAAAAAGAGTGTGGATTTATTACTGCTTCTAAACACTGTCCTTGGAAGTGATAAGTGAATACATTTAAATGCCCTTCTGAATTAAAATAGTTCTTTTGTCACTTTTGGTAGTTGTTATTCTTTTATTTGATTTGCAACCATCACATTTTGTGGTTCCCAGGATGCTTATACTAGCAAGTTTGCCCCTTTAAATTAGCTGATTCTGATTCATGGTTTGTTGAGAAGCCATATAACCAAGTTACTTAGAGATTTTTATCAACTTCAAGCAAAGGAACTCTCTCCGACAACATGATCTGCTCATGGCATTATGGGTCACCTGTAAGAATTGCCCAAGAGATTCATTTTCATAGCATTTGATGGAGATGGTGGCTTCAGGGAGGATATTTTCTACTACTGCTTTATAATTCTATCTTCTAGCTTACTTCCTGAGTCTCAGCCGCTTTTGATTTATGAGAGCGGTCATTAGAAAAGTGAATACTGCGGCCCTTTCATATCAGCTATATAGTACCTCAATTCTCAAGCCTTCTCTTATAGCAGACTCAGAGTTGACTGATATTCTAAAACCATTCCAAGACTAACTACTTTTGGGTAATTAGAATTAAAGTTAGCTTTCAAATTATCTAGCTGTACAAAGAGGACCCTAAGAGAGGTATACATGGATTTACTGTATATGGGAAGTTGAAAAAGGCAAGATCTCCTGAGTAAATTGGGAGCGTGGGGACCATAGAAGAGGGTAGAAGGGGAGTGGAGAAAAATGGAGGGGAGCTGAGAAAAATATATAGCTCAATAAAAACAATCTAAAAAAAAGAAAAGAAAATTATCTGGTTGTAGAATTAATTCATAAGGAAATGCAATTTCCATATGGATAGAGGAAAATTTCACAAGAGTCCACACCTAAGAGAAGAGCTACAGACAATGACAATGACTGTTAAAGAAAGAAGAGAAGTATTTTTTTCTCCTGATTTAAAAGGCATAAGCCCAATCCTAAGGAGTCAGCCCTAAATTTATGAAAATACTGTACTAATATAGTCATGAACTCAAAAGTATGTGATTGGGGGAACACAGAGTTGGAAGAGGGATGGGGTGGAAAAGATCCAAATACAATATACTTATATAAGAAATCCTCAAAAATTATTTTTCTAAGAAAATAGAAAATACCATTTGCTAAGATGAATATTTTCTGGCATATAGAGTCCAAACTTAGGCATGTCACCATTTGCTGATTGTGACAGACGCTGATTACTTTTGACCCATAGAAACTCTTGAAATGTACTGTGTCTTATACTTCCTTTGAGGTACTTTTTGTAACGTATAGAAAGTAGGTGCTAGATGGTTGATTGGTAAAAGTGTCAAAATTATTCATGATATTGTGAAAATATAGGAAATAGTGTTGTTTAGTGTGAATTCCTCATAGGCAAAGACTGCAGTAATTTAGGTGAAATACTTGACTCACTAGGAAAGACCTACTGGCTCCAGAGCACTTCCTACCTTTCTCTCTTCTTCCTTCCTTCCTTCTTCCCTCCTTTCCTTCTTATTTTAATTTGTGCAGATGTTTTACCAAAATACTAACAGTAGTTATGTAAGGGACCCATTCCTGAACACTTCTGGATAGCCAGCATTTCATTTCATCCTTTCAGGTAATCTGTAAATTCAATAAACCCAGGAGAAATATATGACATTTGGGCCACAGTAATTTTTCATTCATGTTCAGCAGGATTGATAAGTACAAGATATGCCTAACCCTTTCTTAGAGCCTGGGTTTATTTAATATTCCTTTGGCGTGGCGGAGGGTTGAATAAAAAGTTCAGATAAAAGCACAGGACTTTGAAAGTGAGAAAGGCCTTTTTGATTACATATAGATAATACCTTAGGAATATAAGTATTCACAGAAAGAATTCATATAGCTTGTAATTTGGAAAGTCTGCAGGCATTTGCTAAGTATCTGGTGGAACATCTTTCAATGAAGGAAATTATATGCAGATGGCTGTGTGTTGTTTGGGTTATAATTAGC